GATTCTGTATATAGAATAAAGTGAATTCTAGACCATACGGTTCATACAATTCATATAATTCATACAATTCACTGTCAGAGAGCACGCGATTTAATATAAATATAGCAAAACCATAAATAGTTATTAAGTTTATTTTTAGATAATATACTGTATAAAACTATATCATGAACTTCACTATTGATAATGATATCTACATTGCTGAGAATAGAAATTTTTGAATTTAACCGTCAAGACATAACAAGTTTGGTTTGAATAAAATTGAATAAATTATTAATAAGTCATTAGTGGAAATAGCAAGGTAGTGTCACATTTGGTACCGATGTGTATCACTGTTATGATTTTTATTTTAAAAATGTTATATAAATATTGACAATTTAATTGATAAAAGCAGAGTTATGTTATCTAAATGTTCAAATGAGTTCATTCAATTGCATTAGGTTTACAGTATACAGGATTAATGTAAAAATAATCAGTCCCATTGAATATTATGCTGTAAATGAATAATTCTCATAATTATTACAGTCATAATTATTATATAATATTACAACTACTGTGCAGTATATTACAGTAATATAATTAACTTTTAACAAGTTTTCTAATTTTAGAAATAACAATTTTTATATATTTTAAGCATATACAGTAATTTTAGTTATTAAACTAATGAGAGTACTTTTAAATGATAACAGCATTTCTCAATCAAAACAATTACTCCCCGGTGCCACAAGTGGGTGAAAATGGTGTAGCGGTTTATATCCCAGAGTTTGAAGAAATTCAAATGAAAGCTTTGTTTCATATAAACCAATTCAATCTATTGGCCAGCGATAGGATAGCACTCAATAGATCTCTTCCAGACGTCAGATTAGAGGGGTTTGTATTTGAAGTTTAAGTGTTTCCACAAATATTTATTGTTTATAAATTATATTTATGTTAATATATCATAGTTGCAAACATAAGAGTTATCCCAAAATACTTCCGACCACTTCAGTGATAATAGTATTTCACAACGAAGCCTGGAGTACATTGTTACGCACCGGTATGTATGGCTATACAGTATTAGGTTTTTGGTTCAGTTATAGAGATAAATACATGGAATATATTTTATATAATAATTTATTAATTGAATAAATGATTAGTTCATAGTATTCTTCAAACATCTCGACATTCATTGATTAAAGAAATTATTTTAGTGGACGACGCGAGTGAAAGAGGTATATATTTGTTAGTTTTATAATTGTTTCAAAATACAAATACACTATAAATTTACTCTATAAAATATATAGTAATTTTAGTAATGATGAGTTGAAGTAATAAGAAATTTACAAATGTTTTGCATAATGTTAATTAAAGTAAAAAATAATGACTTTAGTATGAAAATTGTCACAATACTGATGATACATGATTGTCACTTTGTAAGTTAATACCAGTATTATTTAGCAATGAATTAGTGTTTTATTGTATACAAAACTCTTTTATAGACTATAATTTGTTAGTCATTCTAAACAATTATTATATTAGTTTCTGGAAATTCTCTATTATTTGACAGAATTTTTGGGAAAATCATTAGAGGATTATGTCTCAAAACTACCGGTTCGGGTGATAGTTCTACGAACTGGCAAACGGTCGGGTCTAATACGGGCCCGACTTATAGGCGCTAAGGAAGCCAAAGGACAAGTCCTTACTTTCTTAGACTCACACTGCGAGTGCACTATAGGATGGCTCGAACCACTACTCACCAGAATCGCAGAGGACAGGTATGTCATTCAAATTGCTTCATCATATCATACTATGAATATTTTGAATGTGCGATTTTATTACGGTATTAAAATTACTACTTATTTGTTAACAATTTTTGTTCAATTTGTTAGCTTTCTTATATAACAGTATTTAATTAATTATTAATTATTAACATACAGTGATTATGTGTAGAATATAATGATTAACTATCAAATTGGTAACCCCGTCTATTGTTGAATTAAATATCAATTAATTTGAACAGAACTCGAGTCGTATGTCCTATAATTGATGTGATAAGTGATGAGAATTTTAAATACATCCCGGCCTCTGATATGACTTGGGGTGGATTTAATTGGAAACTCAACTTCCGATGGTATGTATGAATGCATTTAATCTTATTCTTTGTGAATATATTGAGACTAAGGGAGGGAATGGTATGTT